CCGCGTGGATGACATCAGTGAGTGTCCTGCGGGGGTAGGAGGGGACAGGGGCTTGGGAGGAAGGAAAAAGGGAAGTTTGGGTGGGAGGAAGGTGGAAAATGAATGGAAAAGAAGGAATTTTCCATCCCTCATCCCATCTGGTTTATGCACAGTGTCCTGGTGAGCCCAGGTGTCTCCCGATGGAATCAGGGGATTCCTTCTGCTCTCAGGTGATTCAGGTGATTCCTTGTGCTCTCAGGTGATTCCTTGTGCTCTCAGGTGATTCCTTGTGCTCTCAGGTGATTCCTTGTGCTCTCAGGTGATTCCTTGTGCTCTCAGGTGATTCCTTGTGCTCTCAGGTGATTCCTTGTGCTCTCAGGTGATTCCTTGTGCTCTCAGGTGATTCCTTGTGCTCTCAGGTGATTCCTTGTGCTCTCAGGTGATTCCTTGTGCTCTCAGGTGATTCCTTGTGCTCTCAGGTGATTCCTTGTGCTCTCAGGTGATTCCTTGTGCTCTCAGGTGATTCCTTGTGCTCTCAGGTGATTCCTTGTGCTCTCAGGTGATTCCTTGTGCTCTCAGGTGATTCCTTGTGCTCTCAGGTGATTCCTTGTGCTCTCAGGTGATTCCTTGTGCTCTCAGGTGATTCCTTGTGCTCTCAGGTGATTCCTTGTGCTCTCAGGTGATTCCTTGTGCTCTCAGGTGATTCCTTGTGCTCTCAGGTGATTCCTTGTGCTCTCAGGTGATTCCTTGTGCTCTCAGGTGATTCCTTGTGCTCTCAGGTGATTCCTTGTGCTCTCAGGTGATTCCTCCTGCTCTCAGGTGACTCCCTGTGAGCTCAGGTGATTCCTTGTGCTCTCAGGTGATTCCTCCTGCTCTCAGGTGACTCCCTGTGAGCTCAGGTGATTCCTTGTGCTCTCAGGTGATTCCTCCTGCTCTCAGGTGACTCCCTGTGAGCTCAGGTGATTCCTTGTGCTCTCAGGTGATTCCTTGTGCTCTCAGGTGATTCCTTGTGCTCTCAGGTGATTCCTTGTGCTCTCAGGTGATTCCTTGTGCTCTCAGGTGATTCCTTGTGCTCTCAGGTGATTCCTTGTGCTCTCAGGTGATTCCTTCTGCTCTCAGGTGACTCCCTGTGCTCTCAGGTATGGTGAGATGCTGAGAGCTGCTTCCTTTTGCACGTTTCTGTGTGATCTGTGATCTCTTGAGAATGAGACCAAGTTGTGTTTGTTAATGTTCCTGTTTATGAAGTGTCTGGGGAGGTGTTCCAGGCCAGGCTGGAAGGGGCTCTGAGCACCCTGGGCTGGTGGGAGATGTCCCTGCCCAGGGCAGGGCGGGAGACTGGATGAGCTGTAAGGTCCTTCCAACCCAAACCAGTGTGTGATGCTGTGGTGAAGGTAATCCTGGTCAGCAGTGCCTTCACAGGCAGATTCCATCTCAACTCCTGGTCCCTCCAGGATTACTGAAATCATCTGTGTATATATGTCTTTTTTTTTTTCTGTCTTCCTTATAGCCAATTTACTCCAAGGCCTGAACTCCACAGACTCAGCTGTTGTAGAAAAGGCCATTGCTGACACAGAGAAGAGGCTCCATGACCAGGGGAGCAGCAAGGAGATAAGGAAAGCTACAGTGAACAGAACAGTCATCAACACACAACCTTCTGTAAGGGGATTTTTCATCTCTGGGCAGCTTAGGCCTGTTAAATAGCACCAATTCTCACTCCTTGGTCAGGGGAATGAATTTAAACAATCCTTGCAACCATGGCCTGAATGTGGCTTTGTTTTTCCCCTGGTTACCTTACTGTGAGGTACTTTATGCCATGTTGTCTTTGTCTCAAGCCTGCTGATAGCTCAGAGCATTTTTGTGGGATGTATCCAAGTTGGATGCTCTGAAGTGCAATAATTTATAGCTTTTCCCTGCACTGAGGTGCCATAACTTGTAGCTTTTACCTGTGCTTCAGGAACTTGAGCAAAACTAGCTGAAGACACATGAGTCTGTGTGTTAATTCCAGGAGGGTTTGGTTCCTGCAGGAAGGGTTTGGATTGAAGACACAAATGGAAGCTTTCCAGTATTGTCAGACACTATTAAGTCCTTACCTTCCTCTGAGTGTCAGTTTGCTGTTCCCTGTGTCAGTGATGTTCCAGACACCCTGTGGCCTTGTACAGCCCAACCAAGTTTCCTTGGCTGCTTTGGCTCACCCAAGTGTCTGTGAAGAGGCCTCTGAGGTGTGTTTCTCTTTGCAGGACACAGCCAAGGCAGAGGCAGTGGATGCAGGTAGGACAGTGCTCTGCAGGACCTAATCCCACTCCTGCCCAAGTCCAAACTCACTTTTCTGGTGACTTTGGTCAAAATCCAGGCAGCCCTAGGAACACACTGGAGGATCTCACTACCATAGAATCATAGAATCACTTGGGTTGGAAAATACCTCCAAGATCATCAAGTCCAACCCTACTGTGGTTACTAGACTAAGTGTCACATCCAGTCTCATCCTAAAAACCTCCTGGGATGGTGAATCCACCACCTCCCTGGGCAGCACATTGCAATGCCTGATCACTGTCTCCATAAAAAATTCCATGTTTGTGTAGGTAGGAGCCTGATGGTGCAGCTGTTGTGTTCTGACCTCAGCTGAAGAGTTAATGTTCCTTTGAAGAGTTAATGCCCTGAGTGTGGCACCATCATTCTCTGTGATACCTTCTCACCCACATTCCCCTTGCCTTGTGGAAATGTCCCCTTAGTATTTGTTTTTATAAAGAAATGACTCAAATACTGCAGAAATTACTTTTTTCCTCATCTGTAGGTTGATTTTAATGAAGTTTGCTCTGTTTTCCCCCTCACTAAAATGCCCCCAACCCTCCTGACTGGCAGAAAACTTCCTGGCAGTGCTGGAAAAGGATGCCAAGGAACGAGCTGAACGCAGGAGGAGGAATGAACACTTGGCAAATGGTAATTGCTCCAAACATTCCTAGCTGATGCCTTCAGAACCAGCTTGGCAGGAGCTGTGGTGCTTGAGGAAGCTGTTGAGGTGCCCTGGGATGGTGCTTTGGCTCTCTGAGCCCAGTGGTTGTGGCCCCAGCATTGATTTGCTGTTGTCACAGGTTAGAGACTTCACAGAGTTGTTGTTCAACCTGTTGTTCTCCACGTTATCCCTTTTTTTGTCAGGCTGTGGGATGGAGGGAGGGAGTTTGGGTGTTTCAGAGCTGGGCTGGGCAGACAAGTACTGTCTGAAAGGGGAATGTGTGCACTGAGAGCTCAGAGCCCCTTCAGGCAATGCCTGGTGGGGCTGGGCTGGAGTTCTGGTGGCTGTTCCAGTGGGAAGGTGTGGGTTCTGTTTGCTCAGGTGCCATTGGGGACATGAGAGGCAAATGTTTTCAGTGTTTGTGGTTTCACAGCTCTGAAGGAGGAGGGGAATGATGCCTTCAGGAGAGGAGACTATGCCTTGGCCATCCAGAGGTACTCAGAGGGGCTGGAGAAACAGAAGGACAAGCAGGAGCTGTACACAAACAGGGCACAGGTCAGTGGGGGGATGAGCTGCCTGTGCCAGGACAGAGCCCAGAGGGATCATTCTGTCATCTGTGTGGTGATTCCTTCCCGAGGGAATGGTCATGTCTCCTCCCCTTTGGCTGTGGCACCTCTGCCCCTCCAGAGTTAGTGAGGGAAAATCATGCTAATTCATAGTTTTATTGCCACACACTGAATTTTTCATTAATTCTCTTTAGGCATCACTTACATAAGAGTAGAATGGCACATTTGCTCCTCTATTTGCCTTGGAAAATCCTTAGGTGTGTGCTGAATTTTGTTTCCTTAAATTTCCTCCGAATGACAAACTCCAAGGAGAGGCAAAGCAAGTTAGGGAACAGCTGGAAATTACTCTGCAAATCAATGCCCAGGGAAATCAGCACTCTCATTTTATCCTCTCCAATTAGCTGTGTTTGTGCAATAATTAGCAGCAGTTGTTTGAAGGCTTCTAATTCCTCTGCCTGGACTTTTTCTGGGGTGTATTTCAGGCCTACCTGAAGCTGCAGGAGTATGAAAAAGCCATTGGGGACTGTGAATGGGCATTAAAGGTAATTTCAGAGTTACCAAGTGCTCCTGGATGGCAAATTTGTGTGGAACTGATGGTGTGGAGACAAATGGCTAATGGAAATGAGGGAAGGTGCACAGATGCCTTGACCCTGACTTAATCTGAACAGCAGACAACAAGATTTCAGTGCTACCTGTGTGCAGAGGCTTTTCCAGCTCTGAAGAGCTTTTAATTAATTGGTGTAAGTAATAATGAGCTAGTCACTGCTCACGTTGGCACGGAGGGTTTTGCTCATCCCTCTGAAAAGGGAAAAAGGACTCTGGAAGCTCACAGAAGGTAAAGGTGATATGGAATGCCAAAGAGCTGAGTCCAAATCCAGTTGTGATCTGTCAGTGCAGGGAGACACAGTGAGCAGATCAGCGGTGATACTGGCAGCACCTTATGGAGGAATCAAAGTTTTTGACACACAAGTGAGCTGAGAAATATCACTTAATGGGAACTGCTTTCCACCTTCAGCCACTCCTAAGCCTGTGGCCCTTGTCCAGGGAACAAATGTTGGTCCTTGGAGGGAAAATTTCAGCATAGAAACCTTAGGCACCTCTAGCAGAGGGTGAGAATATCCTGTTCTTTGCCTGCAGTTCTTCTGGGCAGCTCTCACTCTTCACCAGAAGGCTGGAAAGGAATATTAAAAGTCTTAAAATGTCCAAACACCTAACGAAGCATTTCTGCTCTACCACAGTGCAGTGAGAGGTGCAGTAAGGCTTTTTTCCTGCTGGGGAAGGCTCACCTGGCACTGCAGCACTACTCTGAGGTGAGCTGGCTGAGCCTTGTGGCCATGGGAGCATCTTCTGCTCTGCTGCTGCTGCTGTGATGCTGGGGGTGAGAGGGAGGAGGTTAATGCTGTTCCTCATGGTCTGTTTTCTCACTGGAATGCTGATTTTTTTGTCCCTACTGGGACATTCCTGGGGTGTACTGGAAGTTTTCCTGTTAGTTTGAAATGGCAGATATAGGGATGGAGAATCATAGACAACTTATGCTTTGATTATGAAAGTTTTGGCTTCTGTCTGTCTATGCAGCTCCTTTTTCACAGCTACTAAGTCCTGTGGCCCAAAATCTTTGGAGGTTAAACAGGATGACTCTGACCAGGAGATCATTTTTACCATCTTCCCATTTTTCTCTCAAATTGAATCTGTTTCTTTCCTCTCTCAAGTCCAGGCAGTGTTATGAGAAGATGCTGCAGATTGATCCTCAGAAGGAAAACCTATTTAAATGTAAGAAATAGTTATTTCTGCACTGTTACCCCTCAATTTCTGATGAACTGGACCTGAACAGAAAGCACTGCTCTGCTTCTCAGAGCTTTGTGGGTCTCTGCAGGCAGCTGCTGTTTCTGGCTGTTTCTCTCAGCCCTGGTTGGCTCAGCAGAGCTGTGGGTTGTTGTGTCCAGCTGAGTGCAGCAGGTTGTGCTCTCTGTCAGGGACTCACCTTCATTTTCACCTGGCACTTGACCATCTCAAACCATTTCCCTGCCTTGCTCCATTTTCTTCTGATTTCCAAGGTTGTATGAACGAGGTAAACCTGGAGGAGAAGAGGCTGAAGGATGAGGAGAGAGCAATGAAGGAGGCTCAGGGTGGCAGTGCTGCTGCTCTGTCCATCCAGGAGCTGCTGCAGAGCCTTGGCACACCTGGGCAGGAGATCCTCTGCTACACAGGAGGCCTCAGGCTCCTGGCAGGACTCGTGCAGGATTGTGAGTGTTTGCTGCAGAGGTGGTTGGTGTGGGAGTTGGAGCCAAGCAGATGAGCACAGGGAGCAGTTTTAAAGGAGCAGAATAACCATTCCTGTATGTAAAGCGTAAAATTGGCTCAGTTTGGTGTCTCCATGTGGCCACTAGATACTTACATCATGTTACAGGGCTAAGGCTGATGTTGTAGCTGAGCTGTTGAGGATTCTTAGGGATTTGAGTCTCTTCACAGCTGTTGGTTTGGAAGCATTTGTAATTCTCTATTACAACATGTTGGTTTGCAAAGCTTAGTGTTTCAGCCTTCCTGAAAGCTCTTTAACTTGAGGTCACTTGTTGTTCACAGCACCAGGCACAAGTTAGAGTTGTCCTCAGCCTCAAAACTGCTCCTGCTTCAACTTCATGGAGTTTTCCCCCTTTCAATGCTCTTTCCCCAGAGCTGTTGGTGCAGTGACCTTTTCAGTTAGCACTGTCACCGAGGGCAGGACTCTGCCCTGGCTGTGCTGCCTCAGGCAGGAGGATCTCAGAGCTATTGTTTGTCTCTGAATGTTTCAGGCACTGAGCAAACATTATTCAGGATCAACAAAGGCTTCAGTGTGCTCCAAGCCAACGAGGCTGTCAGGAGGTAAGAGCTTTGCAGAGGGGAACAGGGAAGGGGTCACAGCATCAGGAAAGGAAAGATTGTTTGCAGGAAACACAATCAGCTCTTGACATGCAGATGAACTGATCAAGAGGGAATGGAATAACAGATTTTAGTGTCTGGGTGCAGTGACTTCCATCTGACTCTCCACAGACAGTGCTCTCAGCTGCAGGCAGGAGAGTGAGTTCATTTCTGCTCCTGCCTCCTGTGCTGGACAGTTACTCTGTCTCTCCTGGGGAGAGCAGCTTTGTGAAAAGCCTCCATAGCAAAGAGCATCTGAAAGCACTTGGTTGCTGCAAGTGCAGCTGGTTGGATTCTGTGCTGTGAATTGCCAGCAGGAAATATTTGGGCTTACAGCTCTGAGTGTAACCTGTGAGACTGAAACTGTGGCCAAGGCAGAGTGTCCCTGGGGACAGACACAGACTTCTTTAGGGTTTTGGCTGTGAATAGACCCGAGAGATGAAACACTTCCAAATTTGCACAGTTTTTACCTGTGATAAGTAGAGTTATCACCTGTGTGTGGTGAGGGGAGGGCTGAGCTGGGAGATCCTCTGGGAAATAAATCTGAGAGCCCCAAAACTGCTGAGCAGTGAGTGGTTAGAGCTGGTGAGTCCTGTGGCAGATCCTCATCTCTCTGGGGCTTTGCTGATTCCCCTGTGCAAAGAGCAAATGGTTTGATGTGTCCTTGGCTCTGGTTACAGCCTGACATTTCTGATTCAGGGCCTTCTGTGCAGAGAGGAAGAGCAGTGCTGAAGTGGAGCTGTCTGTGGCTCTCCTGCTCCTGTGGCAAGCTGTGTGTGCTGGGAATGGTAAAGCTCTGACTCAGCTTTCATCACCTAATGTACAGTGAAAGTGGCCACAGTAGTGGCTCAGACTGTGGCTTGGCATGGACATCACTTTCCCAGGTCCAGACTGACTGTAAACCAGGTTTTACAGGTCAAATGCAGGTGTTGGGTACACCCTGAGCAGCAGCCACAGTCCTGGCAGCTTTGTGCATCCTGAGATGAAATTTCCAGGCAGTGCCCAACCCTGGCAGTGTTCACTCCAGGCTGGATAAAGCCTTGAGCAACCTGCTCTGGTGGGAGGTGTCCCTGCCCAGGGACTAGAGGATCTCTAAAATCCATTCCAACCCCTGAACTTGCTGTGATGCTATGAAAATGTTCATACTGCAAACAAAGTAAGAATGGTGAGGGTTGTGCTGTGTGTGACTTTGAGATCTTCTCTTTCTTTCCCAGAGGTAAACCAACATCTTCTGCTGACTGAGCCTGCTGTGAGTGCTCAGCTGCCAGAGCTGCTTTCCTCTGGGACACTGGAGATCCAGAGGGAGACACTGGCACTGATTGCTCTGTGCTCAGAGAATGAGAGTGGCAGGAGGATGCTGCTCAGGGACCAGGACCTAAGCAGGTAAGTGCACCTCAGAGTGTCCTGAACATCACATCTGGTCACATCTCCCTGCATCAGCACCGAGGTGAGACCTCTGAAGGGACACAGTGAGTTCTCTCTCCTTTTGGGACAAGCCTAGCCAAGCCAAATTAAAGGTTAGGTGTGTAGCAGACTCTGTATCTAAAGAGGCTGTGGAACTAAGCAGGAAAGGCTCATTCCTGAGGGAGCTGCTGTAGTTTTGAGGCACAGTTACCTCCTTGAAACAGGTGTGTCCCTGCCTAGCTCTCACCCAGGAGCTCTCTGTGTCTCTAATGGCTCGTGGTTTCCAGCTGAGAGTCTCTCCTCATTTCAGAATTGGTATTTATAGTTCTTTAATGTTGCTGTGACTCACTGAGTGCAGAAAGGAACACCAGTCTATTGCCTTTAGCCCATTATGCTGCTGTTTCCTTCTGGAGTTAACCAGAGGAGGAATTTCAATTTACTGGTTTGCACTACGTGGTTGGAGGTGCTAATGGGTGAACAGCAAAGATTCTTCACCAGTCACACACACTTCACTCTGTTCTATACAACATTAATCCAGGGACATTTCTCCTTGGGAGGAGAGGGTAGGGAAATGAGCCACATCTGAGAGGATGCTTAAAAGAGGCAGATAATGACTGTGGGTTGAAACATCAGGAGCTGAAAAAAACCCAGAATTTTGATCTTTAAGAAGTAAACCAAAGCTGACAGTGGTTTTTGGGGGTTTCTTTAGCAGATGGCTGCAGCTCTTGCTGATGTTTGTCAGGAGCACTGACACCAGGGCCAGCAGGGCCATGAGCATTCTGTCTGATCTAATGGCAGAGCAAAGGTACTTCCCTTTCTTCCTTCACTTTGCCAGAGCTGTGCTGGGAAATGTGCTGAGTGAGCCAGTGCCAGAGGCTCTGGCTGATGTTTGCCTTGTGTTGCCTTTACCTGTGCTTCTTCTCTAAAGCTTGGAGTGTTCCTTTATCCCCAACAGGTTCAGAGCTCAGTGTCAGGTCATGCTTTCCACAGATGTTCTCCCCTTGTTCACCCAACTGCTGGTATGAAACATCTGTTTCTCTGTTTCTGGTTTGCCTGTGTGTGCCACGTGCTGTGGCTGCTCTGCCACTTGCTCCTGGGGTACAACTACAGCCCTGACTGTGTCTCTAGGGCTGTGGGTGTAAGAAATCCACTTTTGTCCTACACTTCCCTCAGGAAAATGTTCTTGGTGCTTCCTGCTCGGGCTCTACACATCCCCAGTGTAATATCCAGGGAAAGCTCTGGCCTTGGTTGCAGGTCCCACAGGTAATGTGTCAGGCCAGGATTGCACCTTCAGCTCTGTGTGACTTTAATCCACTGTCACCAACTGGTTGTGTCTTGGATAGTGACTTTTTCTTTCCAACCTGAGCAATCAGGGGGAAGAGATGACATCAGACCCCAAGGTAAAGGTGTTTAGTGGTTCAGATCCCTTTCCTGGGTATCACTTCCTGAGCTGCAGACCTGCAGGATGTTGAAGAGGAAAGGGAAGGTTGGTTCTGTGCAGAATGGCAGGTGCAGCTGGGAAGTAAAATGCTTCTCCAAACGAGCACCAAGGCAATGACCACATCACTCTTACATTGCTTGTTGCTCTTTGCTTTTGGGCATCGCTTACTGGAATTAGAGCTGCAGCAGCTTCTGTTCTGTGCCCTAAGGAAGTGCCAGTAGAAAATATCCACAGTTCAGCATCCAATCTTGAGGTTAGGGGACACAGAATCCTGTCAGCACTTTCCCCCAAGCATCACCAGGAGATTCAATGTGAGAATGAGGGTCACGTGCAGACTTTGGGCAGTTGGGATCTAACAGAGCTGAGAGAGATTCTGGAGTCTCATTTCCCAGGGAATGGGAACATGTGTTTATTGTTTCCTGGTCATTAGTTCTGATTTCCTCTCTGTCCCCAGGTCTGTGCCAGGCAGGTGAACCAACCAGCCCTGGCCTGTGCCATTGGCCTCATGGGCAACCTGTGTGTGGGTGCAGCAGCTCGGGGGCAGCTGGCTGGGAGCAGAGAGTGCTGGCAATCCTGCCTGGAGCTGCTGGTAAAGGCACATCTCCTGGGAAATGTGTGTTTTCTGCCTCCCCTCACAGCTCTAACCCTTGGCTGAGATCCTTCCAGCCAGGGGTTGGGTGAAAGTCTCAGAGTGGCTCATCGTTCACAGGAGTTGTGGTTCTCACAGGACTTCATCCTCCTCCTGTGTTCATGGAAGACTTCCACAGAAGACTGAGGAAATGCCTCTCTGAACCCCTGAAGTGACTGATCTCCTTCTCTCCTTTGCACACAGGATGGAAGTCTCCAAGTCAGCACCCCCAGCTACCAGGAGTGTGTGTTTGCAGTGCTGGGCCTGATGATGAACTTGCTGCTAGAATCCAATGGGGTCATCCAGGTAGACAAGATCTGTGAATTAACTCAATATGTTGGTATTTGAGGTGGTTATTAAGGGAAGTTAACAGTTTAAGTAAGCTAAAAAGTAAAAAAAAATGACAAAATGTTTTCCTCCTGGGTTTCTCACCCTGCTGTTCCAGGACTTTGCTGTGCCCATCACTGCCAGGTGCCTGGCCCTGCTCAGCCAGCAGGAGGGAAGGATTGTGACAGTAAGTCCACAACTACAGGTTGTCTTAGCTGGCCTTAACACTTCAGAGCAAATTTCTGCCCTGTGAAGTCTATACAGGAGGCTTGGAAGCCTGAGGCTTTCCTAATTCCACTTCTATTACTCAGTTTCTATATGGTTTGATGCAAGAGGTTTTCAGTGTTCTCTTGAAATCTGCTTAGCAGAAGCTCTTGCAAATCATTTCATCCCTAGGAGGGTTTTCAGTACAAAACTCTTTTAAAGAGATCAATCTAGAAGCAAAGGAGCAAACCCCATGTGGGTGTTCAGCAGCTGTTTGTTTTTGCCATTCCTGTGTGTGGATTACACCTGGACACTGCAGTCCTGGGAACTCCACAGGGAGCAGCTCCTCGAGGCCAGTGATGTGGGCTCAGTCCCTTCTCTGAGCTCACAGGAGCTGCTCTGAGCTGTTCCACTTCACTCAGTGCCAGCAGTGCTGGGCTGGTCCTGCTGGGAATTTGGTTCAATAGACATCCAGGGAGTTGTCAGGTCTCAGTTTGGCCTCATCTCTCCACACTGAGTCTCTGGAAGCTCTGCTGAGTTCAGTGCCCAGTGAGCAGTGCAAAAGCCATGACCTAAGGCTGTTCTTTGTTAGATTCCTTTTAAATACTTTGGGGTTTGTTCTGCAAAACAAGATCATTTGAAAGCTGGACAAAGAACCATTCCCTTCTGCCTCTGTCCCTGTGTTTCCCACCCCAGAGAGCCATTGGGGTGCTGAGCCGTGTCCTGCTGGTGTCCTCCTCGGCTGTGGGAGAAGCAGTGGAAGGAGGAGTGGTGAAGAAAATGATCAAATTCCTCAAGGTGAGTCAAACTCTCTTTATTTCTGCTTGTTTTGGCCCTTCAGCAGACCAGAAATAGAGAAATGGGAGAGAGAGGCTGTGTCTGCACCCAAGTTATCCACTGCCATGGTGCTCCCAGGGGTAATTCTCAGCCAGGCTGGGGCTGGAATGCTTTGCTGCCTGTCTGTGTGTCCACCTGGTGTGCATTTTCAGGTTTATTGTGGTGCAGGTAGCAGGTTAAGCTGGAGAAGGTCTGTGGCTCTCAGCTTGGCTCCTGTCTGCAGCCAGCAGAGAGGAGGTGATGGTTTGGAACTAATTGGGCTCCAGACGTTCAGGGAGTTCTGTGTGGCCATCACTGCAGGAAATAGATGAGTTTGTCACTCTCAGCCTGTGTTCATCTTGACATATGTACTCTGTGAAGGTCACAGTTTGGGATTTGGGTTTAGGAGTACCTGAGTATCTCTGTGGTGCCCGAGGTGTTCTGTACCCCTGAGAGCTGTGTGTTAATGAGGGCTTTATTCCAATTAGGCTGGAGGACAGCTCACAGCCAGGTATGGCATAAAGACCCTCTGCATCTGCACCAGAGGCAACAGACACGCTCAGGAAGAGCTGGTGAAGGCAGATAAAAGTAAGTGACACCTTCACTAATTAGGGACTGAACTCAGAGATGCAATCTGTGTCACCCAACTCCTTCCTGTCCCTCTCCAGAGGAACTGAACACTGGGTTTCACTCCTGCAGGAGCTCAGCCACGTGCTGTGGGTCATGTGCTGGTTTCCCTCCTGAAATGGTGTTTGACCAGCCTTGGCTCTGTGTGGGGATGGCAACAGACACATCAGAGCACGAGCCTGAGCCAGGGGAACTGTGCTCTGCTCTAGTGGAACAGTTTGATAGGCTTTGTCAGAGTCAGAAGTGGAAACTGTAGCTGAATTGGGTTGTGTTTCACGAAGTGAGTGGCTAGAATAAGAAACTTCAGTTAGACATCTGATTGCCAGAGGTTGAGGCTATTTCTGGTGTCATCTGTGTGTATATTTGGCCTGGTATTAAGCCAAAATGGAGCTGGAGACAGGGATGATATCAGAGCAGGTGTCTTAGGGTGCTTCTGGGTATATTTGCTCCAGTCATGTGGTATAACACTGCTCAGATTGCTTTAAAATCCACCTGCAATTAATGCTAATGTAGCTACAACAGAGAATACTGAAATTTTGCCTAAGTGGTTGAACCTGTCAAGAATCTGTCAGCTCATGCAGTTCAACCTGAACCCTAAGGATTTCCACTCATTAAAAGCCTCTCAGAGCATCATCTTCCCTTTGTACAGCCCATATTAGTTTCACTGTCATCTGCAGACAAAGCTTTCATTCCCTCAGATTAGCAAGAACACTTCACTCTGTTCTGTGCACCAAAACTCTGGGTAATCATCTGGTGAGAAGTCACTACTTCCCATCTCTTTCACCTCTGTTTGCCAACTTTGATTCCAACATTGCCATGTTGGAATGAAGCTATAATTTGCATTTCCTGACCACTTCAAGCAGCTTCTGGCCCAGCCACTGTGCAGCAGGACAGGTGGGATGTGATCTGGAAGAGGAGCCCTGGGAGAAAAACCAAAGCAAACTTAAGTAACCCTCAAGGAAACTTTCTGGCTGTGTTTTATGTCGACATTGCTCTGTCTAAGTGTTTCTAGCCCCTGTGGCCTGTGCTGTTGCTGCTGCCAAGAAATTCCCTGTGCTCCCCCAAGGTTGCTAGAAAAATGCCCCAGACAGAGCAGTGCTCAGTCCCTGGGGGTTTGGGTAAAGACAGGAGGAGCATCAGTGCCCCTTGGGTTCATCCATCTCTCTCCTCTCAGGGTTCGCTGTGCTGCTCAAGCTCTTGGAGTCAGAGGATGAAATGACAGTGGGGAATGCTGCTCTCTGCCTCAGCCAGTGCCTTGCCATTCCTGGAGCAGCCACAGCCTTGCTGAAGTCCAACGTGGTGCTGCTGCTGCTGAGACTTGCTGGGGGTGATGCTGCTGGGGCCCCAGTTCAGGAGAACGCGGCGGTGGCTCTGGGGAAACTCTGCGTCTCCGAGCCGAGGTAAGGGCAGCGACACTCTGGTTCTGCATCCTCTGATAGCTCAAATTTCTGTACATCTCTCTCCAGAGAGACACAAGGGAAACACCTTATCTTGTGAGTCTGGGCAAATGTAAATGCCATTTATCTGAGCAGTTGTGAAATATTACTTAGAATATTCATTTTCCTCTTCGTGGGGAACATCAAACTGAAACTCTGTTTCTCCTGCTGCTTGAAGAGGAATTTTTGACTATAGCACTAAACACCCTTGGCAGTTTGGGCAGGGACACAGCAGGGAAAGCTGAAAGCTTCCATTGTTAGTCACCCCATTCCCCAGACCCTTCTGTTGTCTTTCAGGCACATGCAGCAGCTGAGGCAGCTCAATGGCTTGGCCATCCTGAACTCCTCCATGAAACACGTGCACAGCAACTGAACTCTCCAGAGGAGCTCCCACTCTGCCCTTCTGTCCCTTGCTGTTGTGTATTCTTGGCTTTCAGAAAACTGACTCAGAGCACATCAGCTTTCCAGTCCTTGTTGAAGTGTTTGTGGCTCTCCAGAGAAGCACTGAGACAATCTCAGTACCAGGAGAAAGAAGTTAGTTTATTATCTAAACTATAACAGTTTGCACTGAGCTGTCTTTGCTTTAATAAATGGCATCAATGTGATCAATGCCTGTAAATGGTTTCTTTTCCCCCTGGTTTTGAGTACAGGAGGCAAAGGAATACATCCCCTTTGTGTGGAGCAGCACAGGCCACTCATGTCCGGTGTGAAAATGGCTCTGAGCTTCCCTCCCTGAGGCTGTGGGTGTTTGCTGGGTGTGCAGTCCTGTCCCTTCAGCTCTCTGCCTGACAAATTGCAGAGCCTCTCCCCTTCAGAACAACAGCTGAATCATCTGCCCACTTGAGAAGGAGGAGATTCTCTTACACCTGTTTTTTCTGCCCTCACAGCTGATATCTCAATTTGGTAATCTTTGGGTTGTTTTAAGTTCCTGCCACTAAACTAGTCCCTGTGAGACAAATCCAGCACGAGTGGTGTGGAGGGTTCAGTCCAGAGAAGCTGTTTGTCAGCTCTGAACCTGCCAAACCCCAAACCTCTGAGGGTGGTGAGCTCAGGGACAAGTGGTGCTGGGTGGGGGTAGAGGCAGTGCCTGCAGTTCAGGCCCTGTGTGCAGGGAATCTTCTGCTTGGAGAGGGAAGAAGCTCTGGTGACCTGTCCTTGGTTCCCACACAGAGGTGAGTGACACAGCAGGGACTGCAAATGACATCTGTCAGCACCTGCTCTGCTGTCTTATCTGCAGACTCCACTCGATCAGTTTGCTGAAGGATGGAGAGAGGTTTGTTTCCCTCAAGAGCAATTGCCTCCTCCCCAGTGTGTCCTGCAGTGCTGTTCTGAGCTGTCTTTGTGCTGCTTATCTGCCTTGGCCCTGCAGTCCCCAGGGCTGGGGGTGGTGTCCTGTGCCTCAGCCTGTCTGCAGCACCTTGGCTCACAGTGTGTGCTGAGAGCTATGTGCTCCTCACTGCTCCCAGGGAGTATTCACCAGGACTCTGGGGGCTGTGGCTGAAGGTAAAAGGCTGTAGCTGTGGCTCTGCCTGGAAAGCCTCTGCTCCCTCCTTTGGAAGATTCTCCTTCCTATGCAAGTTGAAATTCTGTGCTTGTTCTCTCCCTGTGGTTCTCATTCCTCTCACTAAGTGTCAGGTCAGGCTGCTGTGAGCCAGGTGGGCTTGGCTGCTGCACTGTCACTGCTTCTCCTTGATGTCTGGTGGCTTTTCTCTGGTGGCTTTTCTCTTGGATTAAGAACACACTTTGCCAATGCCTGTAGGGCTGGGGAAGAAAGGATCCAGCAGCTTGACACCTCTCTCTGGGGTCCAGCCCTGCCTGGAGGATCACAGGGAGAGAATCTCCATCTCTTTTGGGGTCTCAGAGCCAAACACTTACATGAGTGGAGTCTGCAGTGAAGTGTCTCCATGTGGGATCCAGACTGGTCCCTGTTGCATTTGCATTGGCACAAACTGGCCAAACCTTCTAACCCTTTTTGGGTAGAAGGTAGAAATAGAATAGAAATCAGAAATAGAATCAGGGCAAAACAAAGGTGAAAACCTGTTGCTAATGGCATTGTCCAAGTGTCCCTTCAACACTGCCAGGCTTGGGGCATCTACCACCTGTCCAGGAAGGCTGTTCTGTGTCTGAGCACCCTCTTGCCTCACATCCAGTCTGAACCTCCCCTGATGCAGCTTTGAGACATTCCCACATGTCCTGGCAGCAGATCCCAGGGAGAAGAGCTCAGCACCTCCCTCTCCACGTCCTCCTCAGGAAGCTGCAGAGAGCCAGGAGGTCACCCCTCAGCCTCCTGTTCTCCAGACTGGACAAACCCAGAGCCCTGAGCCTCACAGGAGATGCCTTCCAGCTCTTGTGCTCCTCTGAATGCATCCAAGGACCTCACACCCTTCACACAGCACTCCAGGTAACGTTTTTCTCTTTGCTCAGGGCTAGAACTGCCTTGTCCAAGCAGCCTCTCATGTTTGGCATCCCCTTTGCCATCTTTGGATGGAAACCACACATGAACACTCTTCTTTTGTTAAAAATCAATTGATTCCAATTGGTGCAGGGTTTTTGGAACAGGTTATTGGTTGCTGTCTGGCCTAAGCTCTTATAAAGTAACCCAATCCTCTCCCTGCAGCACACCCAGCACTGCTGGAGGCAGCAGTGACTGCTCAGCCAGCTGCTTCCTGGAGGGATCTGGGGTGTTGGGATGACTCAGGAGCTGCTCCACGAGATGCAGGAAAAGTTCCCCATCCTCATCCTGATTGCAGCTGGACTGTTGGATCTCTGTGGTGAGTGCTGTGTTTTGTTCTGCTCTCACTTGTTGCTTTCCTGCCTCTTTCCCACTGTTTCCAGCGGGTCCAGGGATGATGCTTAGGGTGTTCATCAGCCTCAGGTGGGTGACAGCTCTGAGGGGAAGGAACAGCTTATCTCTGTGCACTGAATTTGGGGTGAATGGTTGCAGTTGTGGGAGCATTAGTGGCTCCAAATCAGGACTTTTCCTGGGCTGCTCACCTGAGCTCAGAGACAGTCCAGTTCCCAAGGACTCTGCTTTGCCTTTGCCAAACTCCACGATTTAAATGCATAAGACTTCAATACATAATCACTTCATAGCTGTTAGATCTGTCTGTTTGCTGGCAGGAGCCTAAGGGAGGATGCTCCAAGTTTTGGAGGAGGAAAGCCTGTTAACATTTCAGTCCATGGTTTGGAAAGGATACTTGGGAATGTCAACAGAAGTAAAATGTGTGGGTGGAAGAATAACCTTTCAAACCATGGGGCTGCTTTTATGAGTGCCAAAGTGCTTGTGGTTTGAGGAGGTAAAGGTGGAGAAGTTGCTGTGCTCTCTCTGCTCTGTGTCACTTCACAAGACAAATCAGCTTTGTCCTGCTGATCACACTGTGTGGATCAGGATTGGGATACTGAGGGAGGGACAGTGGTAAAGCAGAGCCAGGTGAGTGAGCTCAGGTATGTCTTAGTCTTGCTTTGCTGTTAAGAGCTCCCAGGCTGTCCCTGGGCAGCCTGAGGGTCAACTCCTGCACCTTCAGCTCCCTGTGCAGTGCACATAAAGGGTTCCTCTCAGGCTGGTTCAGGCTTTGGGTCCTTCCTGAGCTGCTGCACATAGCCAGCAGAGGCTTAGGTTTCTGGGAGGTGGTTTGAGAAGGGCAGTGCCAGAGCTGCCTGTGCTCCCTCCCCTGTGGCCTTGGGCAGAGGCAGTGGCTGCTCAACTCACCCACTGCAGAGTGCTGGAGCTGGGGAAGGTTCCTGTGCAACTGAATATGCCAAAGGCTTCTCTTCTGTTCTTTAGGTGCCTCCAGGAGTGAACCTGATGTCAGGGAGATGTTGGGCCTGAGCTTTCCTGGAGAAGCCCAGAGCAGCCCAGTGCCCAGCCAAGTGCTCCCCATCACCCAGGATAACTCAGCTGAGGTGACCTTCAATCTCCAGAGTGCAGCAGCTGATCCCCCCAACGAAACCACAGCCGAGTCCAGCCCTGCTCACACAGACACAGCTGCTCCCAGAACAGCTGTGCTGCCTGGAGACTTGGCTGCAAACCTGCAGGAGCCTGAGCCACTGCACACAGCAGCAGCAGCAGCTCTGAGACTCCAGGATGGACACACTCCTCCTAGCAAGCTCTGGAGTAGCTTCAGCATCCCTGTGTCCACACAAGGATCCACAGCTCTGGAACAGCCAGACAAGTCACTGCAAGGGGAAGCAGACAACATACCTGAGGCTGGTTCCAGTGCCAGCAGCTCAGCTGGGCTGCCCCAGCCCTTCCCCAGCAGAGAGACACACCAAGACTCTCCCGAGTTTACTGTCGTCTCTTTCCTTTCAACTGTCAAGCGGGTGGAGGTGACCAGGCATAAAACATCTCTTCAGACTTCAACAGTCCATTTTCATCCTCCAGGAAAAGCAACGGCAGCATCTCCACTGCCCACCAGGATGAATGTTTCTCTGGGCAGTGCTGGGCTGGGCTGGGCACCCACAGCAGTGGCTCCCACCAGCCAAAGGCCAGAAGGCACAAAGCCACAAGCTCAGCCTGACAGCAAAGCAGCTCTGACACCAGTTTATCTGAAGAAGGCTCAGAGTCTGGATGCTGAAGTTACAACTCCTGCAGCCCCACCAAAGGCAGCTCCAGGGGCCCCTGGGGCACTCTATTCCAGGGCAGCACAGGCCAGGGCCACTCAAGTCTCCCCTGTTTGGTCTTTGGAGCAAAAAACAACAAGCAGCAAATCCAGAAATTCAACATCAGCTGCAACAAATGGCTCTGGACATCCAAGCCAGCTGCCTGCCCTCCAGACACTCCCACAGGGCAACCTGCACACTGCTCTGTTACTGATGGAAGCTCCAGTTCCTGATGGATTAGTTCCATCTCCAGGGCCTGTTAGCACAACTGCTGAACAGCAGCCCCTGTCTTTGTACAGGACCCTCAACTGCACCAAACATCTTGCTCAGGAAACCAACAGGAGCTCTCAAGAAATCACAGTTCCAGCTCTGCAGAGAGATACTGATCATGGGAGGGTGACAAGTAAACCTGGAAATTCCAGATCCCCTGAGACCACACAGCCTTCTGTTCATTTTTCCTCATTGAGCCAGTCATGGGTTCCCACAGTAAAACTTACCCAGACTACTCAAGAGCCAAGAGGAGCAACACCTGCACCCTCTCCAGGCATGTTTGCCTTTGGGAATGCAGACCTGCAGCCTTGGGATTCTTTCCATGCAGTGCCTCAGCCACCAGGAACATCCTTCCTTACTCAGGCTGGGTGGCAGCCAGTGGCCATCCCCACCCCTGCTGAGAGAGGACTCCACACACCAACTGCTTCATCCACATCTACTCCCCCTGGGTCTTGGGCTCAAGGGGCTTCTGCCCACCCTGTGTCTCAGGAAGCTGCACCTGTG